AAGCCGGGATGAGCCATGTTTAGAGCAACAGCATAATGTTTGGGGGGGCTTGCATGCGCCGGATATCGAGTGCACGGCACTTCCCTGAGCGAGCTCAACCAGTGCCATGCGCCTCAATTCCTGTTCTCTGTAATGTAGAAAAGAGTTCGGAGGACATTAGCAGGTTTCCGAAAGGGACTTTCTAAAATGAAAGAATCCACTATACAAGAAGAAATGCAATACTCAGCGATAACTTCACGAACGTATACCATTGAGTAAGTTGAACCCTTGCAGTACACCTCAACTCTTATTAAGAAACAGAAAGCTTGTGAATTTCCTCGCTGCCCTCACTTTTGTACAAAATTCTCCACAAGAGGTATGGTCGCTAAAGGAGTGACAACGTACCAGAGAAGAATCTCTCGGCGTTCTCGAATAAAAATCATCAATGGGGCCTTTTTCGAGACGCAATGCATTAAGTGCTTAGTAACCATCTAATAGAACATATAGGGCATCCGATCGATATTTGAGAATTCTTTGAGGCGCGAGTTTTTTTTATCTAAAAAAAAGAGCAACTTCTTTCTCCAAATGCAATAGCTCAAAAAGTTTTGTATAACAGCGAAAATTAGAAGATTAATCCTACTTAGCGGTTATTGAAATGACCTGATTGGTCCATTATGCCAAGTTGTGTACTTAATACATTTTGGAGAATTTTGTACGAAAGTGAAAGTAGCTCAGGGATTCACAAGTATGCTACCTTCTAATAAGAGCTGAAGTGTACTGCAAGGGTTCAATTTACTCAAATATTAGGTCGTGAAGAAAGTTCTTGCGCTTTTCGGTGTTTCGTTTTTGAACGCTTTATTTTGTTACGAATTCAAGCAAGCTGCCAATGAGCTGTATGTGGTTTTGAAGAGCTTTTCTTGTTCTATCTAACAGCTAGGCTAGCTATGTTTCTTATCATTTAGTTGTCATTTTTTGAAGCCTTGAATACGGCATACTCCAAGAGCAAATTTGCATGATTTCTTCGGGGGGGGGGGGGAGGGGGGGGGGGGGGGGGGGAGGGGGGCGGGGGGGGGCGTGATTTCCTTTTTCTAGCTCAAAGCAGGCCAGTATGGAGAGGAAGCAGGTCAAGATATTATAGACGCACTTGGCTGAGATTCGCAATAAATATGGTCTGAAGCAATTGTTCAAAAAGCTTTTGTAAGAATAGCGAGAGCCCTAAAGATTGTGAGGGTGGTGATCGGAGATTGGACAACGCCAACGATTAGTCGAACGTTCTGGTTGAAGCACGTTTGCACAAATCTATTGAGAGGGTTCCTCCTAAACTAATCGCACTTGCATTGTGTTTTCTTGTTGTACGGGAAGAGCTGGAAAGTCCCAAAAATTCAAATAGGGCGTGCCGCGACAGCTCACCATTTTGAAGGGTCGTTCGCCGCGTTCTAGCTTGTTTCATGCCATGAAAACGACCTGACTTTTTGATCATTTGCGACGCACGACAAAGAACGGATTCTTGCTAGAATACGAACCTTTGGTGAAGTGATCGACCGCGATCAGGCTCTACAAACTTTGCAAAAGTGAAACTTCACTGAAGGAAGGTTGAGGTGACTTTCATAAGGTCAGCGGCTGGTCTAGCTTTCGTAACCAGGTGGATCTGTTAATGTGGAAAAAGTACCTGATAATGTGTAAAACTACTCCTAGAACTCTGGCACATATGCTCGAAATTCCTCATTATAAAGGAACCGGCTCGTCCCTGACAGGTAGCTCGGACGCACATTCCACAACCAACCCTGCAGAAGTTGGACAAGATTGGCTACGAATTAGTCCTGCGAACATCCTACTCGGTAGACCTTTTGCCTATAATTTGTCACTTTCTCGACTACCTGGATAGCTTCTCCAAAGAGTTATGCTTCAAAAACCAACATGATGCGGAAACGACCTCCGCCGGTTCATCGTCTCTAGAGCTCCAGTATTCTGCACTACCGGGCTGATTCAACGCAGCTATTATTGGCAGAGGTTTGTGGATTCTTCTTTACTCCAATCAAAAAGGTTTCGAATGAGCCGAGATACAGGCATTTGAAAATCAAGGTCCAAAAGCGCAAGAACTTTCTTCACGACCTAATAGTATAGGTTTATGAAGTTGTCGCGGAAATTGCATTTTTTCTTATACAGTGGATTCCTTCCTGTCATTTCAAAAAGTTCCTTTCGGAAACCTGTTCCTCTCCTTCAAACTCACACCTACATTGCTGAGAACAGGAATTGAGGCGCATGGCACTGGTTGAACTCGCTCAGGGACGCGCCATGCACTCGATATCCGGGGCATGTCGTGATTCCATCCACTCCCAAGCTACTGTTGCTAAAAAAGGCTGATCCCGGCTCTTCTAAGCCTTATCCCCTCCCATTGGATCTAATATGACTCCTTGGCAAGTACTCAAAGCACGCTGGACCTTGCGCTGGGCACCGAAAGAACAGACTCAGAAACGAGGGGTGAGCTGGTATAACATCTCGTTTCTGAATCTGTTCTTTCGGTCCTGAGTATGGAGACGATTGAGACGCAGATATTCTCTGCGTGTGCAGTTGCATCACAATCAGCAGGAGCAGTTTCATCTAAACGCAGGTGCCAAGGTTTTAACACCCCCTTCAGCGCATTCGGGCCAAGGAATAGCACATCTCGATCCTTTGTGGATAGCTCTGCTCTAATCATCTCGATACGTCATGGAGTGTCTTGAGCTGCAGATGGAGGTGGAAAAGCGTAATCAGAGTGCGTGAAATGATCCTAGCAAAGTTCAGCCGGGACTGCTAATCATAGGCTTCACTGCACTTACCCTTTCGCCTACTATTCTCTCTAGATGGTACTTCGAATGGTTCTCGAGAAACCTTGTACCAGATGTTTCTGCGATTTGGGATAGAAATATAATAGAAAAAATGAAAGTGGATCCTTCTATGCCCCGTCACTCTGAGGCGTCGTGGTACGGTAAATAGATCATCAGCTTATAGTGAGAACGACCAGTAGCTTTACCTCTCAAGTTGCTCGTCAGCCAATGGATGTCGATTAGGATCACCGGCTAAGACTCGTACCGGTGTGGTTTCCTTCAATCTAAAAGAAACAGCGATCATTCCAAAATGAGTCAAACGAAATCCAAGGAAAACTGGTTTTCGCGAACCTTTGTAACCAACTGAATACTTGAATTGCAAAATCCACATCGTAAAACATGTCGCCCAAAATTATGAACGAAGCGTTCACCTGAAATTACACCTGGATATGCATCATATCTCGTTGAATAGGATGAGCCATCAGTAGTGCTGGGAACAACGTTTGAAGCGTCCGGACTCTGGAGGACGTCGTATTTTGTGGCTTCGAAGGGGAGGAGGGGGAGGAAGCGTATTCGTGCAAGTAGTATCTCGGAATACAGGAAAAGAGGAATTTTTAGGAAATACTAGCAAGATTACATTCATCACAACAATTTTTGCGTTCATACTAAACGTTTAAGAATTTGTGATAATATAGCGCAATAAAAATATGCAAAGGCCACGGCGTAGAGAGAAGTAATCCCCGTGCCTGGAGGTTGTATGTGGGTAGCTGCACACATTGCAGAAACTTCCACCTTGAAAAACACCCCGTTAAGGCGCAGGGGCGTTCGGTTTCAATCCAGGGCCGCCTGGTCAATCCAGGACCGCCCACCTCCGGAAGTGGTGCGTGGCTGGCATAACGTGTGAAATCAGCTAGGTTGATTGCCGTATCAACCGATAGAACGACTGACATCTCCAGAAAACTTGTTTAATGGGGCTCCGCCTAGCAGGTGGTCTATAAGCGAGGCGTTGAGGAAAAATTTGGAAATACGACCCCCCCCACCACCCTCCGCCGGAGGCCGAAGTCCATGAAACAACCCTCTTCAAAAGCCGAACTATGAAAAGGTTGAAAAGCTTGTTTAATTCTCCCCCAAAACTGCTCATAAAAAAGCCCTGCTACCCCACCGCCCACAAAAAAATTCTCGCAAGAAGCCGTGACAAAACGTCTGTGAAACTCGTCATAAGGAATTTTCAGATGCATTGTGGTGAGTGTACGTCCCCTACAACGACCCTGGTGGCTTTCCCACTCTTGTCCGCACATAATAACGTCAACATATACAGAGCCAAAAAATAGGCGACAACACTAGCACTAACAAGTCGGCTTCATACGTCATGACAACCATCTGTCGGTTTGAATTATCCTTCCGTCCACACGGCAGAAGATTCTACACTTATATTTTTAGTCGCCACCTACACAGATGGTGGTTTCGCAATTGCACGGAGGCCCTTCAGTCCGAAAGAAGCTCTTACGCGCCCGCCTGGGGGGGCAAAGAAGCCTTGTCCTTCGCCAGCTGCTGTGTTGACTGGACTTTGGCGTTGACCGTGGAGCAGCTTATTTACTATTGAAATTTGAACAAATATTCAAATGATTATAACTTTCTTCAAATATGACGAATTTTCAATCTGAAAGCAGATTTGGAAGTTTTGTGAAGAGCTTTTTCTAATCAGTACTGAAATTACAGGAAGTTATAAGAAATAACAAATTTAGATCAAAACGAGGAAAATTTGAGACCGAGCACGAGTTTTACACTTTCCGGAGCAATAACTTGCTTCATTTTCCGTCAAATTCAAAAAGTTGATACGTCATACAAAACTAGAAGATTTTCTCTATCAAACGGTCGCTAAAGCAGCTTCATACGTCCAGTACTCAAAAAATGGCCACGTTGAGGATTTTTGCAAAATTAACGAGGAAAATTTGTGATGAGTGCGAGTTTTTACGCTTTCCAAAGCCATAACTCCGTTCAAACTCATCCAATCCGAAAAGTAATACGTCATCATAAACTAGAAGATTTGCTCTATCAAATGCTTACTAGAACTGCTCCAAACGTCCAGTATTAAAAAAACGGCTACGTTGAGGATTTTCGCACGAGTACCGCCGAAAGGTACTTTTTCGCTACATTGGCACTATTTCAACGGCTGTATATCCTTGGCGATATGTACTATAAAGTTAAGAGCAGATTTTGGAATCACTGCTTTCTCTCTCTAAGAAAAGTGATTGATTAGCGTTTCTCAACTTTAAAGGTTACATGTTTATAAATTTAACCCTGAAGAGTCCGTTAACGCAATGTTGAATGGTGTACACCTCCCTGTAAATGCGCACGGACACTTTCAGAATTCTCTCGATTGTTCCTGAATTGAGGTTGTTTGTCCAAGGAGCCGTAGTTGAAGCGCGCGCAACAACTAGACCCTTTCTCGGATGCGCCGTGTACCTCACATCCCTTCAGATTCGGGGTCTTACTTGAAAGATGAAATATCTCTTGGAAAGCGTGCGAAATTCAGATTCTTTAACTTGTGTGGTGATAAAACACTGAAGTAACTAAGAATTACCGGACGCCTCAGAATCACGAAAATTTTGTGTGGGTGAAATATCATTTTCATTGGAAATCCTCTGGCCTGGCATCGACTCATCCTTGATATTTGTCTTCCGACGGTGATGATCCCACTGCATCAAAATGGCTCGATCTCTTCCACCCAGCGGGCCAATACGACCCCCCCCCCCTGCGACGTGTCGAGGATTCCTCAACGCACGCTTGACCCTGGTCCCAATCAGCCTCCTTCACTGCTAGTGGGAAAGAGGGTTTTGTTAACGGCCTTGTCGACGGTTTTTCTCAGTTTTTTCTCCACTGTCGTTCCACTTCGCATCTCTATACTCAGTTTCAATCGCCATAATACCCCCTTATTGAGCCCGACTTTTGCCTTTAAAGAATTCGTGAATAATATAGCGCAATAAAAATAAAATAAATGAAGAAGTAATGGAACAACAAAAATCTTCATCTTTTTCCCCTAACGTCAATCCCGCGCATTCGCAGGGTCTGCTGCTTGTCAGCAGTCGCCACTTTGCTCTCGTCATAGGGCATCTCTACGTGGCCCGTGCCCTCACTCTTTATGATTAGCTCCTTATTGAATACGTTGCTCCACTTATTCTCTGGGGCTCCTCGTGATCGCTTCCCTAGAACCTCGAATTCAGGGCCATTCCTGTCGGATGACCCTGTGGCCTCCTCAGCACGTGCCCATACCATCGCAGCCGTACCTTAGCCGTCAGGCATGTCGGCATGACCAACTACATCCTCGTTTTTTGCCCTGTCTAGTCGCGTGCAGCCGAAGGTCAATCTCAGCATCCTCATTTCGGCAGAGTGAAACTGCCTTTCGTGGTTCTTTTTCAAGAACCAGCCACGTATAGCATTGCAGGCCTCACCACTGTTCAGTACACCTTTCCTCTGAAGCTCGGTTCGGTGCCTTCCGCGGTAAGGGACCTCAAAAATTGTTTGATCGCCGTGGCTCACTAAAACAACTCTTACATATCTGGTTTTTGCAATAGATTTTTAGAGCCTCAAAGAGTATAAACCTCTAAAAACCACTATTTATTGGGATGCTAAGAAAAGGTGAGTCACCTGTAGGAACTGTTGCAGGAACATTTCTTGAGCTAGATCAAGCAAATTATCGCTGATAAATTTCGTCCTCCTCTTCGTCGACACACCGTTTCTTCTACGAATTGATACGAGCGGAATATGAGGGCATCTGAAGCTCGAACAAAGGTATACAGATCGCAGAAATATTAATCTAGAAGCTGATTTTAACTCCATTCAATCGAAATGTTTCCAAAATACGCCATGCACTCCGTCATTAATAGCGGAGATACTTGGAACGAAATGACCTCCGCGTTTTTTGTCTTTGCTATATGGAATATAAGACGTTTCAAAACTAGTGTGAAAGCTTCTATACTGGAAACGATACATATCTCCTGTCTAGAAGTAAATCGCTTCAAGCCAAATGCGAGTTATTACGCTATCCAAAATCCCAAAAGGAATTAATCAACATCGGAAGCTCAAATCTTATCCTCTAGAACGACTTTCGTCGAGTTCCTCTATACTGGTTAGAAGCGAGTGCATGGCGCATTCCTCAAGTGGAAAATAGACCTCACTTGAATCAATATCGTTGGCTATCACTGTGGCTCCTGCTTTGGATGCCGCTATGCTGGCGGAACCGCAGCCACATCCAAAATCTAGAACGTTTGCACCCAAAAACAACTGAGAATTGTCAAGAATATACCTAGAAAACGTGAATTTAATGTTAGCGTTCTTAAAGGCAGTGACTGCGCATGCGATGGGAGGCGGAGCTAACTTGGAGACGTCGTTGGTAGGAGCGCACTAATTGTAAGAAAGGGTACGGTTACAGCTCTCAGCATCGGTGGGATGTGGTTTGACTGCCTGCCTGCAAACAGTGGAGCTTCCAGCAGGGTCAACCCTACGTTGTTACTAGTAACAACGGGGGGGTCGCGTACTTGGTTGAGTTTGTAGGAGGGGGTCGTACCCGTTTCAGTCGCTTGAAATCACATGTGAGTTTGAGGTGAAACTGAAGTTTTCATGGGTAGTAGGCTGGGTGAGTTGAGGGGCGCAGGAAAAAAAAATTTGCCGTTTCAGCGCGCGTATATACCCCCTAGAAAATAAAGTAGTGGGATATAGGTAAAGGCTAAAAGTAGGAGTTGGCGGAGATATAGGATTTTACTGTTTCAGAGTAGCTATATACCCCCCCCCCGCTCGACGTTTGGAGGAAAAAGTGGGCGGAGTTTGGTGGGTTGAGTGGTATCAGAATTAAATACTATAGAGACGATGATGGTGGTCGAGGTGTGGAAAAGGGGGTCGTATCAAATCCACCTTGGGGGAGGGGGGTCGTAAAAATTTTCAAAAAGTAACAACGATAGGGTTGACCCTGCTTCCAAGTTAGCTCCACCCTCCAGCGATCGCACCCACTGTGGTCGGTGTCGCCTTACCTGGTGACTGCTTGACCGCCTGGCCAATAAAAAGCCCAATATGGATCGACGAAGGGGCACATTTCTGGTCCTGCTTTCCACAAAGGACTCGCCTCTGTGATCAGGCGAAGTACCAAGTTCAGGTGTCAGACTTTGCCTGGATTCGATGGTGTTCCGTAGAATCCATTTCGCAACTCCACGTAAAGAATTCACCATGCAAATTGTTTTGACATACAAGACGCTGTAATTTAAAGAATAATTTAAAACTAGAATTTTGTGTCGCTCACCAGCTTCTCACACATTTTTGGGCTGGCTACTTCGCATATGCTTTTTGAAGACAGAATGGATTCCACGATTAAAAGGCAGCCCATTGGAAATTAAGTTGAAGATGTCAGTGATACATGAAAGATGAAAAAACGAAAAATGGCCTAGAACCCGAAAAATGGGACCCTTCCTTGCCCGTTGATTTGCGCATTGATGCGACTCTCATCGGTGCTGCCCTCTTCAACGCTAACGCTCTCTGCTAAACGGCTAGAGACTCAGACACGAGACGACGCGAGAGGGGGCGTACCGGGGCCATAACGCGTCACTTGCGCCGAAAGGAAGGCTATGCTAGATCGTCCGGGGCATATCCTTTGATGCGGAATTGCGTGTCGGTCCGCTCTCTTATTGTTAGGAGGTCTGCCTGTCTCTCCACTAGGTAAGTTTCCACTTCTTCGAGCTTCGTCCTCATCGTGAAATCCTCTCTTGATCACAAGGTATCAAGACATCAGCGATGGCCGCGCCGCGTTCATTGGCAACCTTTTTGGAGATTCGGCGATTCGGAGTTCGAAAAATAGCCGATTTTCCGAAAGGAAACAAAGAGCAGAGCAAACCAACCAATTTGTACTCCTTTTTATCAAATTGCCAAGTTTTTGAAGATGCTCGGAATATACTCCACGATCAATTCGGATACAACCCCTTTCGCGGTGAATTTCGCATGCATTCCTTCAACAATCACCGAATTCCCTAGAAGGTGGAGTTTGCGAACAAGTAGACGCGACTGATTCACAACAGAGAAGGGCTGGACAAAACGGTAATCTCACAAAGCGCTAGCCTCCCGCAGCATAGCGCATGCTTTGACTCCTCTCAAAGACCAGACATTTTCTTATCCTTTTTAGGCAAAGGTTGTTTCATAAATGTAGGAGACAGTGCAAGTATTGTTTTGAAGGACAAAGTTCGGGCTCAGACCCACCTAAGAAGCCCTTACCATGGCTAGAAGTGCTGGGTACGCAAGTGCAAAGGTAGCGCCACCTTTACATCGAAACCCGTCACCAGGACCCTAGGCGCCATGAACTTCTAACAGACTCCACCAAACTTAACATGGTCCGCCCACCGATCGATGTCTTGTCTGCGTCGCCACGTTGATGTGCTATGCTCTCTCTTCTTGGACTTCTCTACCACTCTCCGTGCTCACATAATCTCTCACCTCCTGTCTGTTTTTAAACATCACACCTTGGAGCAAAATGCTCATGTTTCCTACGTATTTCAGGATTTTCTCCCTTTTCCTCCACTTGCGATCCACCTCTCCCTCTCCCATAAACCTTCCACTTTGACTGTAATCCTTCCCATCTAATTTAAGTCCTGATTCCTGTCTTTAAGCACCCTTACGATCCATGCAACGCACTCGACGACACAGCTGAATGCAAACGCCTCCTGAAGGTAGCCGGTGCAATCAAGTGGTCCTCCTTTGGTAAGAAAAACGGTACCGCTAGCAGAGAGAACAGTGAAAAAAAAAACTGAAGGAAACGGCCTAAACCCACAAATAGACCTCTCTATTTTTTTCGTTGACACGGACCAGTCATATTGATGCTGACGTCATGTTCCGCTCGAGTCCAAACAGCACAGGACCACGGGTAGCTAATGCCGTGGGTGGACAGAGGGACAAGACGTCTAGAAGCTAGTTCTACTGAGTAGCAGCGGACGCCTTCGTGGCCACAAAAGAGCCACGCCCCTGACCTTTAGGGGCTCACCTCCTACTCCTGGTAAGCGCAATTCCCTCTTTAACAACATCCAATTCGTGCTACTTGTCAAATCCGTGATTTTGAATACGAATCGACTGTATGGCGCATACAAAAGAGAATCATACATATGAGCATTTCGCAGTTGTTTTTATCTCCGGCTGAACTAATATTAGTGTTATTATCGTATAACTTCGTATACACTCTTCTGAGAGTCAAGACACGTTATCAATAATTGAAGTCCTCAAATATGAATATTTCACTAGCTCTTCCGAAAAACTTTTCACCTCTTCAACCACTCTTCCTCGCATACGTCGCTATCATATGTCCGTCTTGACACAAGACTTGAAGCCCAACCCAGGTAAAACTCGTGTGAACAGTTCCCTTCGACCTATAGGATAGCTCCCTGAAGGGCAATCACTAATGCGGCATTCCCGTGGACGGAAGCCACCCGAAAAGAGCGTAGGCCTTGCCCAAAAGTAAGCCTGCCTAAAGCTCTTGTAGGAGCTGTTGTCTGGTCATCATTCTCATTTGTTGCTGGTTGTTCTCGCCTCATACTCTACTCCCAACACTTACAAGGAAGTCTTTCAGGGTGTGCCAAGCTTTTTCAAAATCTTTTTGCATGATATAGAGGCACATGCGGGAACCACAGAACCATGGTTAATTTTTCCTGAACGGCCCTCTGAATACCAGAAAAGGGGGTCCCTAGTCACACCTTTTTCACCAGTTTTTCAATCAAAGTCTATTTGTAAGGGTTACTGACGTTCCTAATCATGAATTTGGTACTAATTATTCATGCTGACTCCATTTTGCGCGAACTTCGTGAAACGTCAGATTTTGCGCGAATTTGGGAACGTCAACACGAAATGCAAAAACTTGTCACCACGAGGAATCGAAATAGAGACTTTCCTTTCTGATATTTAGAGAGCCGTTCAGGAAAAATGAACCATGCTTCTGTGGTCCCCATATGTGCCCCAATGTCATGCAAGAAACCATTTTGAAAAAGCTTGGCACACACTGAACGACCTCCCTTGTTAGTCTCTCCAATGCCGTGACACAGATTCCCCTCTTTTCTTTCTTTCTCCTGTTCGCAAGCGCGTTATCTTCTTGTATACCTTCTCTTCTTTCTTCCTTTGCATTCCAAGTCTCTGTTTTCCTCTCGACCTTTATAGTATACTCTTTCCTCTTCTACTCTTTATTTTACCCTGTGTGTCTCCTGACTTTTCTTCTCCCATCTCCTTCCCCAATCTTATTCATTTGCTCTTTTTTTCTCATTTTCTGCTTCGTTCTCGCCTTTCCTTCTCTCTCTTCTCCTTTATTATCGCTATACCCTCCCATCTATCTTTCATATTTCTCATCGTTTCTGTACTGGCTCTATTACCTTTTAGAGTTCGTCATGCTACCTCATTCTCCTGTTTACCATGTCCCATGTCATCGCTTCTTCTCCTTTCTTGACGTACATTCTCCGTTGCTCTTCACGTCTAGTCTTAACTGTTCTCGCAGCCTTCCTTATCTTCTATCCCGCTCCTATCCCTCTCTCCTCCTGACATGTTAGTTCTTGTCTTTTACCACCCTCTCCTGTGTTCCTACCAAAACATGCGACTTCCCAAACAGACTGTACTTGAATCAATCTTTCATGGCAGAATATTGACCCTACCTGGACTTTAGAGCGAGGGTATTTTTAAGAAACAGGTTCATTGCTAACAGCTACTGTACATCATTTCTGAGCAAATCAAAGTTTTACGTTCTATTTCTTTAACCTCAGCTAATCATAGCTAGATTGCGGAATTGCACATTATTCTCTTAAAGGCATCCGTTTCTAAACTAAGTCAACTAAGAAAGTTCAGCGACAGCTGCATTGGAAAGCCCATGTGACGCAAGTTCACTTGCACACCCTGCATGATAGCAGCTGCAGAAAAACTCCAAATTACTCCTTATTTCCACAACTACTCCGAAAATCTATATCCTCTCCATGATGAGCTAACGTCGAGGAATTCTAGATGTACGGAACTGAGTCCTATTTCGTTTAGGAGATGGAGGGGTCGTGTGTCAGTCGAAATTGAGATTTTTCGGAAGATAGGTGTTTTCACACCTATTTTATTATAAATTACTTCTCCCTTCTAACCGAGACTACGTACAGAAATCATACATTGATATAATGAACTTAGAAGTGGCATGTAGTAGCACTGTGCTGAACACAGGACTGGGTGATCGGTCGTATTGCCTGGGAACCAATGAAAATGATAACAAAACAGAAACTACAAATTTGACTCCTCGAGTTGTTACATTTAGGTTATCTTCAGAATGAAAGTACTGTGTGGTAAAAGTGCAACAGCTCAAAAAATAAAGCAGGTAAGAAGAAGCAGGTACAGAAATAAACAAATATTCAGTAATATCTCAAGGAAACAAAAAATTGAAGTGAAGGATTGTCAAATGCAAGCAAATCCACTACAAAGTGCAGCCGTTCACAACAGGGAACGCTGCAACACAAAAAAGCAACTTGTTTCTACTCCAGACTCAACTACAACATCCAGTAAATAAATTCTTTATCCAAAGGCAAAGAATAACAAATAACAACAAATCAGTCGAAAAGACCGAATCCCATATCTTCATCTGACTCTTCTTTTGGCTCCTCCTTCTTAGCTTCAGCTGAAATGAAATTATTATTAATCAAATAGCTACTAACAATATCAATATTAACGCCACTCCACCCAGTTCTCCATCACAATTACAGGGTGTCCCATGAATACCACACCACTTTTCTCGACTTAGAACTTCTTTTAAAATGGATGTATCTTCAGGAGGTTGTGCAATTTTTAGCAATATATTTACTTATTGAGAAGGAATAACATTCACCCGATATGCTCCCCTGTTACTAAATGGCTCTCAATTGCTTCGAACGCAACTCTACTGTGGCCCGCATGGCATCCTGGGGTGTTCTCTTCGAAACTTTGCAGAGAAAAGGCTCCGGCTCATCCATGTGGATGCAATGTTTAGTGCAGGCTCTGCCCCTAACATAGCCCACATAGGATGGTCCAGCACGCTGAAATCAAGGGATAGGAGAGCCATTCGTTCGAGGATGTGAAATCGGAAAGAGTGCCTTAACAGCGCTCCTGAACAATTTTTGCAGAAGCTGGGTCCTATTGAAAAAGACATCATTCTTCAACAGTGGTTAGGCAACTCACTAACAGATAGTGCACCGAAATAGTCCTTAGCTCGGTCTAGTATCAAGTGTATTCCTTTTTGAAAGGCAGTGATGGTGAGCGACCACTAGTTGAGACCCCCGTCCAGAGCATGATAAGGTTTGGTTGCTGCTTGAAGCGCCTTCCTTCACTTTTCATTAGCTTCCTCAGGACCTCATGGAAGCACCCACGAAGTTTGAAGATTGTGGCTTTGCTCCACAGTGGTAATTTTGCCGTCGAAGAAAATAGTGCCCTACGTGTAGGTTTTTCGGCCTTGGCACCAGCTCTTCACAGTTTTTGTCTTTGCTGTGCTCCATGTTCGATTGAGCAAGTAGCGCTTATTGCTACAATGACTTGTAGCAGCTTGATTTATAGACATCCTCAAGCATGATTTTGATATGAAAAGCTTCAGCAGTTTTGGCTCACCTTTTCTCTAAGAAAAATTGATATATTGCAGACAGACGCCGTTCCCCTAACTTTTCCCTAAGGAATCAAGACGGCAGAATACGCTAACAGGGGATGGCGTCGCAACGGAACGGGCTCCGGTCTAGATGGTTTCATTCTCTACAGTGCGCGATAGGCTGTGTAGCGCTTAAGATTCCGGAGAAGTGCGATGTTTATTGCCGGATGTCCGACCTAGCTCTGCGAATGGCACTGTGTTGAAGTTTGGGAGCGCCATGAGATGCAGCGGACGTAGGCCGTAAAATTTAGCGTGGTTACTCACAAGAGGATAGAGGACTAAAAGGTCTGGCAATCACGAAAGTCACGGAAGAAAAGCTATGAATACCCACAAAATTTGAGCTCAATATGCGCTGCATATAGGACACCATATATAACCTTCCGGACTGGCAGAAAGCTCTATGTGCGCAATGGCGCATTAGCTGGGTGGACATCTTTCCATGACCTACATCGTTAAAAGTCACACAGAAAACTGCTCAACAACTACGTACTGCTTCACGCCACTAAAAGTACAGCCGCTAAGTAAACCAGAGCATAATCGTAGTAACGAGCTACTACAAAAAGGATCTAGAACGCGTAGTTGTAGTACTGCTATTTTCAAAGACACAAAGAGTGCTAAACCAGCACTAAGCATTCAATCAGAGCCTTGCACTAGTAAAACGAGAATGTAAGCAGAACCACATATTATGCGAAATTTCACTTTGTTTCCACAACTCTTGTTCTAAAATTTCGAATTCAAAAAAAATCTGAAACCTGGCCAAATCCTGTTGAATAAATGAAGACACGTAAGTTAAGCTTACCCTTTGGTGCACTGGCAGCAGCGGCTGCAGGAGCAGCTGGAGCAGCGGCAGAGCCACCTCCTCCACCGGATGGTACGGAAGAAAGCTTCTTCTTTCCCTCCTCCATAACCTCTGGTAATGACTTGCCAGCCAAAGCTTCGACGACCTTAGTGGCATCTTCCATATCACAGTCGAGCCCTCCAGCTCCTGAAAGGTCAAGCCTTACTTCAACACTCTTCCGCGCGAGCGAACAGCTAGCAGAACACATTGAGAATAGCAAGCGGGCATCTGCATGTGATGCCGTACTTCCCACTTTTTTCAAACACTTACTCTATTATTAACTCACTGGTATCACGCGGTCAGTAGCGAGTGATACCAAATAAGCCGTGCAGCATGATTTTTTCCACTATTTTCTCTAAATCTTACTCTGATATTGTGTAACCCAGAGACATAGTGACAGCCATTTGCAAATTTTGCATCGAATATGAAAAAGATTATGAGAAACTAGTTCTACATTTCAATACGTCAACGGTTGACATTCTGCCATTCAACCGCTTCCTCTCATGGTTTCCGTTTGATAAGGTTTTCAAGAAAAACCCTGTAAATAACCCATCAAGGCAATTTTCACTACATAATTGAGGTCAACGATGAAACGATACATTTTCAAAGCATGAAGCGGTGTTGCTAGTCGGATGGGCACACCCATTTTTCTGATACATTAGGCGCGAAATGTACGTGGGACTGATGTCCAGCGCTGTGACCTAAAGAGACGCTATGGGAATCGATAAGCTCTAACTCTTTGTTGTCTCTACCATTGATGGTATTTCCTGCAGGATCGTTCAAATATATACTACAGATCGACGGAGTAAGCCTTGGAGAAGGAGAAGCTTCTCATTTCAAGGCTTAGTCGATCGATTCTCGTAGGTCTCATAGCAGCAAGCTCCGGTCCTCACGTACATTTCGCGCCTACTGTACTCAGAAAATCGGGGTGCCCATCCAACTAGTGCTTGCACCCATAAAGCAACAGATTTCGTAGTTATTTCAAATAACTGACAGCACTGTGTCCAGCTGAAGTCTGTAACCGACGACGGGATTGTGTACTGCTCAGAGCTTGGTGAAGATTAAGTATTCGCAATCGCTACTATTTCCCACCTACACCCGCAATACTTTTCTTATGATGCTTTATCACTTACGCTTGAGCGAAAGAAAAATGCCACGGCATTCAAAAGGTCATAGATGCACAAGAAATTGCTAGCAGGAGGAGGAGCATCACAAATAAGCGAAGGAAATTAGAGAACTATGGCAACAAAACCGCTAGTTGCGCTGGAAATTAAAAACTAGAATCGAAAGTGCTAAATGTCGTAATTTCACTAGAGCAAAAATAAAGCTCTATGAGTACCATAGGCTACATGAAATTAAGTATTTGAGCATATTTTTTTATTTCTTGCTGAATTTCTGAAATTGGTGTTGCGTCACCAACTGCTACTTTTCTTTTTGTCTAAATCTTCTTTAAGTTACCCTAGGAAAGGTATCATTCAATATTACTTCGTTTGCAAGACAGTTCAACGCTGCAGCTCAATCAAAAAATGAAACACCTCCCGAAATAAATTTAAATAAAAGGAACTAAACCGGCATATGTTTCACAAGAAATGCCG